AAGTGTCTGTAGCAAACTTCATCAGAGAGCATATTTGTCTTCTCAGATTCTTCCAGCCCATTTCCCCTTGGTTAGGCCTCAGAAAGAAAGCCAAAGCTTTTTTGTTTGTTTGTTTGTTTGTTTGTTTGAAGGCTGTTATCAAGTTTCAACTTGGGCCTCTCTTTTCTAGGCTAAATAATCTTATTTCACTTAACTTTTCTTCTTAGCTTTAATTTCTAACCTTGTTATTACTTTCAGAACTCTTCTCTGAAAACTTTCCAAGTTTTCATTATCATCATCAAAAGGCATTTATTGAGTGTCATCTAAGCAGAGTGACAGATCACCTTGTGGAACTCCAAGTGGATCAGAGGAGTGCAGTTTAAGGTCAGGGATAGTCCACTGCCTGTGTCTGTTTCCCCAGGGCCAAATAGGATGCTTATATCCCCACTGTGATCTTTGTTTTCCTGGGGCCCCCTCCTGATCCCTAGCTCCCTGGCTCCAGAAGTACTGGTGTCTGATAGCAAGAGCCCTGGCTCTCATCTCAATTCACCTTGAACTAGTCATGCAGCACTTTTTGATTCTCAGTTTTTTCATCTGTAAAGTGAGGATTAAAATTCTTGTTGTCTCCCACCTGCCCCGTGCCCCTCTCCTCCTTTTCACCTCAGGGACTGGCAGCAACCTGTGACCTATCCTCCTGTGGCCTGGACCGTGCACTCTGCTCCCAGGAATGGTGCAGTATCAATTGTGATTCCTCATGTCCCTTATGGCTGCAGCTTGAACTTCCTTTCAAATTCCAGTTTTCATAAAGGATGAGATGGTTCTCTGAGCTATATATTTTATGTCAAGATGGTAATTATCTTGTTAATTTGTTTGGGTCATTTAGATTTGTTTTCCTGTTTTACATACCTTTGTAATAAAATATAGAGATAATGATAATTAAAAAAATAAATTTCCTGCAATGCCTTACTTAAGTTTTCTTTAGTGATTACCAGAGACAATTTTATATATAAGAGAGCTTTGTAAATATCAATAATCACATCACCATATAAAAATTGACATAAAATGCATCATAGACTTAACTGATAATTAAAACTATAAAACTTCTAGAAGAAAGCATGTTGTTGTTGCTATGTGCCGTCAAGTCAGCCCTGACTCATAGCGACCCCTCCTTGGGTTTCCGAGGCAGTATCACTACGGAAGTAGGATTGCCCAACCTTCCTTCC